GGTCCCCCCGTCTTCTAGAAATTGAAACACCGATGAAATCTCAACGGTTTATGCGTTGAGAAAGTGGGACAATCATGAGGTTTAGCATTATTTTGGCAAAAAGATTTAGCGATCGATCTTATCAGTTACTCTAATAACCATATTGGTGCGGAGGTTAGTGAAGTTAACCACAATAGCAAATGGAGAGTAACGGGGTTTTATGGATTTCCAGAGAATAGTCGACGACAACTGTCTTGGAATATGCTTCGCAACTTACGTCGACACCGGGACGTGCCGTGGCTGATAGGGGGTGATTTGAATGAGATACTCAGTAATGTTGGATGGTTAATCAAGTGATAAACACAAAATAAATAATGACATATATGAAATTAGTAGGATACCCACGTAAATATGCCAAATGTCGGATGTTAGAAGCATCCACGTGATGGTTTACTATTATATAAATATGTTACCATATATACTATCAATTATGTTAATGTTCGCCCTCCACTATTAATTTGCATTACTTTACTACAATATCTTCATAGAACAATATTTAAATTAGTATATAAACTTAAGAACAATGAATTTTGTTTCTTTGTTTTGTTGTATAAAGACAAAGTATAATATGATTTTGGTTGAAATTTGTACAACCAAGTCAGGATGGCCGAGTGGTCTAAGGCGCCAGACTCAAGTTCTGGTCTTCGAGAGAGGGCGTGGGTTCAAACCCCACTTCTGACAACATCTATTTCTTATTCAAATTAAACATTTTCCTCGTATCATTTCACACTACCTAAATTTTGAAACTGAAATCTTTTTTTAGTTTTTTTTAAATTTGCTTCTCAATTAATTTTACAACCAATATTCAAATTTTAATTTATTTAATATTTATTATTTTAGTTTTTTTTTAAATTTGCTTCTCAATTAATTTTACAACCAATATTCAAATTAAACATTTTCCTCGTATCATTTCACACTACCTAAATTTTGAAACTGAAATCTTTTTTTAGTTTTTTTTTAATTTGCTTCTCAATTAATTTTACAACCAATATTCAAATTTTAATTTATTTAATATTTATTATTTTAGTTTTTTTTTAAATTTGCTTCTCAATTAATTTTACAACCAATATTCAAATTAAACATTTTCCTCGTATCATTTCACACTACCTAAATTTTGAAACTGAAATTTTTTTTGCCTCATCTCTATTTGATTTTTCACCATGAACAACACAACAAAACACCATGTGACACCCCATTTGGACACACCCAAAAAAAACAAAAAAATTCGGCATCATTCAATTTTGGATTAAATCGCAATATATATGCATCGAACGCAAACTCTAATTGAGCACGAACATGCGATGAACTTGGTCTTGTCCATCTTTCAAACGCACAAAAGCTCATTTTCCGACATATTTTGTTCTCTATATATATCGATGTCTATGGTCCCCTACTCCGAGCCAAGAAACGTTCTTTGTTAAGTAGTTATCTTGAACTTCGATCTTTATATCCTAATATTAGCTTATATTTCTTGTTTTTTACTATACATTTACTTAATTGGCCTATTTTTTCCGTTTATATGGCGTATTAGACCACAAGTAAGCAAATGTGGATGATGTTTTGTCGCGAAAACGATAGAGCAACATTTAGCAACGACTGTCTCGGAGGGGTTGGTCCCCCCCCCCCCACCTTCCGCCCCGCCGGCCCCCCCAAATTGTCTTGCTACATTCTAAAAAGGATATGATATGCAACGAAAGACAAATAAATAGCACATAGAAACAAAAAAACAAAGTTGTGGTGTTTCCTACGGAACCTTTTGGTCTTATATCGTTTCTAACCAAATTTCACATTTGTAATAACGTTCGAAAAGTTTGTCTTAATTCATGTTTAATCTATCGTCCACACTTCTTAAGGACTCAAATATAAAATATAGGCAAAACGAGAGGAAAAAATCGCAAGTAAACGACGAAGAAGATAATGTTTAGTCAGAATCCTGCTAGATTAATATGTGCTTTCGAAGCAGCTTTACAAAATCGAATTGAATTACATTTGCCACAAAATAAAAGTTAATATTTTTATTATTGTACTATCAATATAGAAGAAGATGCCAAGAGTATCTTGTTATGTGGTACATTTCTTCAAAGTATCAAATTAATAGCTGAATTTAATACAATTATTATATTTAATTTCCTGTGTTACTATTCTTCTTTCTTCTGTTCATCCTCTCAATTAATATTAATTTCCTGAAAAAAATAAAATAAATAAACATTAAAACTAATCACATATTTGAAATTTCAAAGAATTAAATAATGTACTAAAAACTATATAGAAATTAATTAATCCCATAACATACCTATGGATTTTTTGCAGTAGAGAATAGCTTCCGTAATCGAATTCTCAGCATCATTATAACAATCATTATTAATACGAGACGGACTAATATTTGGCGAACTCCTCCAACTTTTCACCTTTTTGATTCCGTCATAAAAATCGAAACTAGGTTTCGGTGAAACCTCCAGTGAATAAATATTGCTCCACTTTTCAAGCTCGAAAACTTTTCGACCAAGATCATCCACTCTACTATTTCCATTTCTGCACAATGGCTTCGTAACAAATCCAAAGCACTTCTCCAAGATTCTCTTGGACGATTTTCTCCATTTTCCGAGCGAGTAATTACACCGTTTTTTTCCGACAAGTTGAGGAATAGGAGACGGAGGAACCGAAATCGAAGCTTTTATAAACCCCTCTTCGAGTTTCGACCTTTCGATAGTATAAACCGGCATGATTTGACCGTGAGAGAAGATTTCATCGGCATGAACAAGACTATCGTCGTCCGATGTTATTACGGGAACATCGAAATCGAAATTGTTTTCTTTCTTATTGAGGAAATCATCATATGAAGTTGGTTGTTTGTCAATTAACCAACTGTATGAAAAACTTTCTGTGGCTAATTGTTTGAGTTTTCCATTGTGATGAATAATAGAGATAAAAGAAAAAACTA